ATTTTTTTGTTCAGTGTTAATACTGATACTGTCAGTAAAACAAGCAAGTGTTTCATTTGCGGTGTTTAACCAAATAATCATATAATACAGACGCATTTTTAGTATTAAAGCAATTTACAAATGTTTAGGCTGATCTGTTTTAGGAAACATATAAAATTTAATATGAAACTTAAGCTCACATTTCCATTGGCACGGCCCGAGTCCATTAGTGACGTTAAGGATGAAAGATCAAAGGGATGTATATCAGGGGGAATATCTCATCTCTTGGAAGTGCCATTTAATAATTTATTCTTAAGTTTTTCGTAAAATTGAAATTATGTAAGCAGCCGTATTGGATAGAACATGATGAAATATAAATAAGAGGATTTACAAACAACGTGAAGTAAGTCAAGGCTAGACGTTGATTTTTCATATATATTTTTATTTCCTTTTTATAATTTTTAATTTTATTTTTAAAAACAAATGTCCCGATGGATTTCTTTAATTACAAGCACTCGACATAAAAATAAAATTTATACAATTTCTCTCATATATATATATATATATATATATATATATATATATATATATATATATATATATATATATATATATATATATATATATACTAATTATTGTTATATCCTATCTTATTGTCATAATTAAGTAGCATTATTGCATAATTAATGACCATAAAATGTATGTGAAGCAGTTCTCTATTTTAATTATAGTAAATAATATTAAAAAAATTAAATTTAGTAGTGTAGTGAATTTAATTTTAGTATACCTGAGGGTTGAATGTCTATTCTGTCTGTAGCGATATTCACCAAAAAATTAAATTGAAATTGAATTTACATTTCAGTTCTTGCTGGTTCTTCTCAGAACAGGATTTTTTTCAAACCAGTGGTATATTAAACAAAAAGTGACTTTCAGTAAGTATTTATAGTCTACATTGAATAAAAAAGTTTCTGTTTCTGTTCATATTTTGGTAATAAATATACTTACTTACTTACTTATCTTCACGCACAATCCCTAACGGGGTAGCAAAGTGTCACGATCCTTACATACCTCTTTCGCTTCTTTCATGTTCATTAACTTCTTCATACATGCACGTCTAGGTATCCGAGTACTCTTGACCTTCCCCTCTTCGAGCAATTTGCTCACATGGTCTTCGAAAGTTAGTCTCGGTCTACCTCGACACCTTTTAATATTTACTTTCGCTCTATATATTTTCTTCACCATTCGGTCTTCACTCATTCGCTCAACGTGCCCAAACCATTGGAGTACGCCCCTATTAATTTTTGTGATAAGGTCATCTTTCAATCCTGCCATATTGCGAATCTCTTCGTTTCGCTTTCGATTGTCTATGGTAACGCCACACATTTTACGAAGAGATCGCATCTCCACTGCATTCAACTTGCTTTTATGCTTCTTCTGGCATACCCACGTTTCGCTGCCATATAACAATGTCGGTACCAACACTGCGTTATGTATTGCAAGGCGTGCATTCTTCACCACGCCTTGTCTTTTGACTAATGCATTCAGGGCACCATTGACTTTGTATCCGGCAGCGACGCGCCTATCCACATCTAAATCACATCTTCCATCCCGGCTGAAAGCACTTCCTAAGTATACATATTCATTTACCTGTTCTGGACGTTCCTGATTTACCCATATTTCACATTTCGTTCTCTCTTCGTCCTTTTCAAATACCAGAACCTTAGTTTTATTAGCATTAAAACGGAGACCTTTAATATCACATTCCTCTTTCATACACGTGACTAATGTCTGCACTTCTGCTTCTGATGGTGCAATAAGCACTGCATCATCAGCATACAGCAGACAATTTACTTTAATGTCACCCAATTTCACATCCAAACAGCTATTTTTCAGCTTCTGTAAACAGCTGTCGAGATACAGTATGAACAGCCAGGAAGACATGACACAACCATGTTTTACGCCTGCTTGGACGCTAAACATGGGTGAAAGGTCATGCCCTACCCGCACACAGGCTTTACAGTCATAGTAAAGTGACTGCACAGCCCTTAGCAATCGACCATCCACACCATATCCCGGCAACAGTTCCCACTTTTCTTCCTTATAACCTTATCAAATGCTTTCTCCAGATCCACAAAAGCACAGAAAATCCTCTGGTTAACACTCAGAAGCTTTTCCGTGATCATGTGGAGAGAAAACATTTGATCCATGCATCCTCTTCCAGGTCTAAATCCGCATTGTGCCTCCCATAAGAATCTTTCCGATTTCTCTTGCAAAACACGAAACCTTCGAGTAAACTTTACTTGCTAAACTGGTCAAGCTGATCGCCCGATAGCACCCGCAGTCAAAATGGTAACCTTAACCTTTATATAAAGGCACAATGACCGCGGATCGCCAATCATCCGGGACATCTCCCGTCCGCCAGCACAAGTTGCACAGTAGACGAAAGCTGTCCCAGACGCGAGGCCCACCGTACTTGACCATTTCAGCAGTAACTCTGTCTAGTCCCGCAGCCTTACCACATTTCAAACTTCGAATCGCACGTTCAATCTCTTTCATGCTGATGACCTCAGTGTCATCGAGGTCCGTGTCTGGCGTGCCAGTAATGGCGTTACCCCCGGATCCTTCACTAAGATCATGACACGCATACATTTCTCTATAAAATTCACTCCATCGCTGCATGACGTCCGATTTTTCTAAAAGGACGTCATTGGTTCTCGAAAGCACTTTGTTCATTCTTAAGGCTGTCGCACCACTCCGGGATCTTCCAACCTCTTTCCAGAAGAGTTTGGAGTTTTCCTTAAAGTTGTGCGACAACCTCTCGTCCGGTTCTATTCTACACCTTTAACGTACTTCCTCAATCAATGTTTTCGCATGAACTTTCTGCAGCTTATATCTTTCTTTCATCTTCTCTCTCATATGCTTATCGTTACTAGAGGCCAAATAGTCTAACCATGCTTTTTTCATCTTTTTTACAGCTTCTCTCACTTCATCATTCCACCATGCATCTCTTCTTTTTTTTTATAATATAAATAATATATATAGGTAATAAATGTGACTTAATTTAACTTATGTACAAATATGACTTAATATAACTAGTTGGGCGGCGGGCTAGGGGTTCCCGAGTTCGATTCCCAGGTGGAGCCTTGACCCCATTATGCGAGATTATATACTAGGTGGACTGTATACGCGGTTGGCTTCTTATGCCTCAACAAGATGGTGGATGTGGCACGCGGCAACCTTGTACAATGCACTCGCTCTTCCTTCTCGCTTGCCAAGTTTAGGATGGAATTCTACTTAAGCACATTAGGAGAAACAAAATGGGGCGGGTTAACTAACAAAAAAAATGCTCAAGTAGGAGCAAAATTACAGGAAACACACTTACCGGGGTGTGATTCCGATGCAGTGGACGACGCTTCCGTTGCGGTGATGCGACATGAGGTGGGTTCTTCTGGGGCGCCCTAGAAATGCGATCCAGGCTAGTGGTACGAAGGAAGAGAGAGGTGCGCGACGATATCTCACACTATGTGAGGCGGTTACTTCTGGAGCGCGACTGCCCCAGGTGATGCGGTTCAGACTAGCGGCGCGTGGCAAGAGACCGTTCGAGGGCAGCGCGCGAGCCTATATTGCCTTGGCTTTCCCACCAAGGCACCTCGGTCGGGCGCGCGTCTCATTGGTCGAAAGAATCGCGTCACCTTCTAGACTCCCCCCTTTCCCCTTTCAGTGTGTACGGAAAGGACATGAGGTCAAAGGAAGGATAAACACTTAGCAAATATACCCTCGAACAAAATTAAAATACACAAATCATTTCCGCGTAACCAATAACATATGTTTTATCTACTAGATCGTAAACACATCATATTATTAGTGATGGTCAACTGCGTCGATGATCTAGTGCTCATCAATTAGGATGCAGATCATAAGGGTCATATCCCCTTCAACCCCTTCAAGCCGGGGGGGGCTTGAAGGGTCCCCTTCAAAATAACTAACGCTAAGATTAAACCTAATATTCGACTATAATTCCTAATCTAGAAAGCTAATTCAAACTATTGAATGGGCAAAGGGCACAAACGGATAACAGAGCGCATGTAAGACCCAGTCGTGGTCCTAACGCAAGCTACGCTAGTTACCTCGTCGGAACCGGGAAAAACTTCTTCGACGATCCCTAATGGCCAATGGAGAGGCGGCGAATTCTCATTGGTGAGCACAACCACAGTTCCGACAGTTAAAGGTTCAGTTGTTGTGTTCCATTTTTGCCAAGACTGCAACTTATGCAAGTATTCCATCTTCCATCGTTTCCAAGACGACTGCACTAACCGGTCCAATAATTTATGGCATGCGGAAATACTAAGTTTTTTCTCCTCCATGTCTATGGGGGGCAGATATTTCAAAGTTGTTAAATTCAAAAAATGTGCTGGAGTTAGAGCCAGCGGCTCCAAGGGGTCACTTGACAACGTAGGACAAAGGGGGCGACTATAATAATAATAATAAAAAGGCGTAGGGAAGTGACGACCCCATCGCCCGCTGACGTAACGGTTATGTGATAAAACCGCTACGTCAGCGCAGTCAGTCAGCACCTTGCCAAGAGATGTTAGTGCCATGCCTTGGCAAAAATTGAAGGTGCAAAGGCCCGCTTGTGCACATGGCCTCACCATGAAACGGCGCCGGGTCTGGGCGTCTCCCGCTAAATGACGCCCTCAAAATGGATGATTGAATTAAATAGAACGCGCAAAAGGCCGCTGCCTGGAGGTCGCCAGGGCGCGTCTGGAGCTAGCACTGGACGCGACAGCATGCGAACCGCCAGCCGAGCGCGAGGTGCTGCACGACCACCCAGAAGCCCCTCGCATCCATCATCCCCACCAGCTGGCTTGGTGTCGGCAGGGTCTTCTCGGGCCCAGCAATCAGCACCCGCCACTGGTGGAGTACGCCGCATGAGTTAGACAACCCGGATGAACAGCAACACATTACGGGCGTATTTTAGGGCGAAAGGGGGAGAAACTGGAGGTTTTGCGTATCGGGCAAGGATGCATCGACTTTTTGCTGAGCTGGAGCCATCTGTAAACGTCACCGAGCAAAACCTGGCAGACAGAGTTCGGTATATCTTGCGCTCAAATATATTTGATGTCGCCGACCTCGAACGGCTACGACGTGAGTCTGTTCCCTCATCGGATGAAAATGCTACGGCTGAGGATGCGGCGCCACAAATTATAGAGCAACCCGCAAACGTGGATGCCGCCGTGAATACCCCAGTTGTGGTTGATTTAAAAGATGATGGAACAGTCGCCCAGGAACTGGAAATAGAGCATATGAGGAGTACATTGTGTAACGCTCCCGCTCTCTATATAAAAATAATATTATATTAAATATTAAATATTTCCCCTTTTCGATAAAAAATTATATATATGTGACCAGGATAAACAAGACATGTTTTGATCTTTCTAAATGATCTTTCAAAAGGTTTAATAATAGGCCGTTTGTAATATTTTTGGCGTGATCGTCTTAGTTAGGACCCTTATTTATGTTGTGTTCGTTTAGTTACTTAGTTCTTTTAAGTGTCTTTTGGAAGAATGAATATTCACTAGAGCAATTGAAAGCTGTTGGTAGTGCCTTATAAGCTAAGTGAACCCCGTTCACGAAGACAAGACTCGAGAAAGGTTAAGAACATAAAACGTTCCTATTACAATTGTATCAGGTTTACATTATTAATTTATTATTATTTATCCCTTCCCGCTCGGAAGAGGCTCAAAATATATTTATACAAAATACCCGATACAAGGGCTAAGGGCTACATTTTTTAAATAAATGTAGGGGAGGCACACGGCCCCTCACAGGCCGTGCACGGTGAGCGCCAACCATTTTGATGCACTCCCCCCCGAAGGGAACGTTAATTCGGGAACTTTACCGTAGTCCACAGCAAAATAAATGGCGTACCAGTAAAAGAGGCTTGGCCCCATGTTAGTGCGTAAGCACAAACATCGACCGAAGTCGCGCATGTCAATGCGTGTAAACGCCATACAGAATACGAACGAATCCAGCCACAGTGAATGTACGTCACACGGTTTATGCAAATAGGCACACCGGCCGTAAACCCTCCGTGAGCGCCACCACCTGCCAGACTGCCGCTCCTGCAGACTGATGCTGATGTAAGTGTATGGCATCACCTTCAGTTGCATGATCAGCACGGCTACTAGCCGCAGAGCGTGTCATGAGTCTACCGCTCACCTCAAGAGAATGGGTTCCCACGTTGTGCGGCTTTCGGCCGCAGCCTTGAGAGTCTCCTCAGATCCTCCTGCCAGCTATCACCCGCATGAGGTCGACACAAATGCTCCACCAACCAATACAACCAAAAGCCAAAAGGCAGTTATAAGATAAGAGTAATAATTCGCCATCAGAAAGGGTTTGTGTCACTGACGTTGAGTAAATGCATTTTCGATCATGTTTGTCTCACCCACCAACAAGTTGCCTTCAATCATTCAAAGGTGGGAAAATTACAGAGATATATTTTGTTTTAAAAGTTGTTATATAAAACATCATGGAGGGCAGACAGTCTGCAGCCCCATAATGAAGGGACCCGACTTGGGCAAAGCTACTTAGGTGTGAGTCGAACCAAGACGCAGAGAGTGCCATTAGGAATAGCGTTCCACCAAACAACCATCGCAGAGACGCAATGTTGCAGAACGCAACAAGCATCAATACGACTATCGTCGAGCTTACACCGTCCCAAGGTCCCCCATACATCCCAGCAGATATCACTACCCGCATACCTTCATCGACCAGAACCACAGGAGTGCGTCGAATCAGGCGCAGCACACCCGCAGATCCATCACAAGACGCAATACCGCAAGTTGCAGTAAGCATCAATGCAACTATCATACGGATGGCGCCCCCTCACAACACACCCACATGACCCCTATCGATTTTTGTAACAAAGTTTTTATTGTTGTTATATAAAAAATATCACCAACGTATCATAGTAGCACGCTACCAAGACGCCAATGAACAAAACTCCACGTATCATAGCGCTAATGCACTAAGACATGAAGTTGAGTATGCCTGTTACACTTAAAATTGCTACCAAACACACTCATCATCCCAATCCGAAATATAGACGACGCATCGCTATGCGCTACTACGCCGCCCACAAACGGTATGGGTGTGCGATGTCCACGGGAAAGCCGTATTGCTACAACAAACCCGCTTACCACCGGCACTAAGATGATATGTCTAGGACACATCGGTTAGCGAGCCCAAGTTTACCTCGGACCAATTGCTCGTGAAGCAGCATACACGCCACCACAATATTCCTTTTTATGTCCCTAATAAGGACTAGTCATTTTGCTACACGATATCACCCGATCACCCCATACAATGCTTATGCATCAAGGAGACCTTCTACAATAATTCTTTTGTGTCATAGACCTTACTTTCATAAGTCATTCATATATAGGACTCGAACCCACGACCCTACTATTGTAATGCATATTTATCATAGAGACCTTCTACAGTATCGCTTTTGTATCATAGACCTTACTTCCATAAGTCATTCATATATAGGACTCGAACCCACGACCCTACTATTGTAATGCATATTCATCATAGAGACCTTCTATAGTATTGCTTTTGTATCATAGACCTTACTTTCATAAGTCATTAATATATAGGACTTCAACCCACGACCCCACTATTGTAATGCAAATTCATCATGGAGACCTTCTATAATATTGCTTTTGTATCATTGAATTTATTATCATAATTCCCTAATATAGGACTAGACATTGCGCTACAGTACTTCAGGCAGTCGAGCTCCCGACCACCCCATATATATGTACAACTGCAGGTATGTACCTCCGACAGCTCCTCCATACAAGACATACGTGAACACCTTCCATAACTTAGGATACTTTTCTTTTATACATGAACTCCTTCCACAACTTAGGAAAATTTTCTTTTACACATGAACTCCTTCTAAGACTTAGATAATTTTTAACAAATTTTCTAATTATCTTATAAATGTTATTTATCTTTATTTTTATAATATTTTCGACTTGTATTTCTATTATTTATCTTATTTTAAATATTTTTTCAAGTTTTTAATAAATTTATTTATTATGGAAGACAATATTTTGCCTTTAATTTACTATGTTATTGGTCTAATGTCTGAAATGTATTTATATTAAATTAACGAAAAAAAAAGGATTGAGGGGGGGAGATATGGTTATTAATGTAATTTTATTGTTTAATATATATCTTTTAAGACTATTTTTGACACCCCTTTATACTGAATTTAATTATTAATAATAATATTGGGCCGTCACAATTGGAAGAAGCGATTGTGTAAACGCGCAGTACGCCTCTCGAAAATCGACCGCGACTTCCCCGCATAGCCCTAAGCAAGCGGAATCGGGCTGTCGTGAGGGCTGTGAACCCAATGCTGGTGATTTATTTGAAAGCCAGCCGGGACCTTTGCGAGACGGACTCAATTCTTTTTGGCGCCGCGCTGGCAGTCTGCTGTATCATAGGCGCCAAGGTTTCCATGGCTGGACGCGCTACTAGCCAAAGTAGCGCTATCCCAGCATGGAGAAGAAGAATTGAGGAACGTATCGAAAAGGCTAGAGTTCTCATAAGCAGGTTGATATGCTTCAGATCCGGCAATAACAGGCCAAGAATTGGACGCACCGTCAGGATGGCGTTTCCAGCCGGATATAACGCAAAAACTGACGGAGCGCATAGATGATCTGAAGCAGAGAACCGCTGATTAGGAAAGCGGATTCGGCGATATATCGAGAGATCGACACGGTTCAACCAGAATCGTTCCAGAGTGATCAGAAGAGGCTCTATAGATCATTGGAGCGACCAATGTTAAGTGGAACGGGCCCAGCACCGAATCAGGCCGACACTGTAGCATTCTGGCGCGGCCTGTGGTCAGAGCCCGTAAACTACAGCGAGGGCCCTTGGACGGAAGTTGTGGCGAGTCAGTGTGCGAGTATAAAGCCCATGGACCCCGTCATTATAACACCGGATGACCTAGCTGAGGCGGTCCGTAGGGCCCCAAACTGGAAAAGTCCGGGACTCGACGGGCTGCATCAGTACTGGCTGAAGGGGTTCTTGGTGTGTCACACTGTGCTAATCCGACAGTGTCAAGAGGCTCTCAACCAGAAGTCGCTCCCGAGCCTTTTCACTACTGGGATCACCCATTTGGTTCCTAAGGACCCGGGTACCACAGACCCGAGCAAATACCGCCTCATCACGTGTCTACCGATCGTATACAAGCCACTAACATCCATTTTGAGCGCGAGAATCACTCGTCACCTGGACTCAAATCAGGTGATGTCGCGCGCTCAAAATGGATATCGGGGCGGTGGTCGTGGAACCAAGGAACCACTCCTCATTGAAGCGGTCATTGGCAAAGTGGTGAAACGCAACCGTCGGAACTTCTCCGACGCCTGGATAGACTATAGAAAGGCATTCGACTCGGTGCCCCATACATGGCTAAAGAGAGTCCTTGAGCTGTAAAAGGTAGACTGTACAGTGGGAGACTTCCTCAAGCAGTGTATAGGGCAGTGGAGTACGATCTTTTATCATCTGGGCGAGCGGATGATGGCTGCGAAGAACCACATAAGGATAAGAAGGGGTATCTTCCAGGGCGATTGTCTGAGTCCAATCTGATTCTGCCTCTCTCTGAACCCTCTCAGTACCTTAATGGAGGGCTGCGGATGGGGATTTCAGCTACGGAAAGGAGGAACAAAAGTGACCCACCTTTTCTATATGGATGACCTCAAGTTATTCGCCTCCAGTCGCTCCCATCTTATGGAATTGCTGAACATCACTTGTGAATTTAGCAATTCCATTGGAATGGAGCTGGGGACGGATAAGTGTGCGGTCCTCCATGTTGAAAGGGGAAGGGTTACTTACTCTGAGGGCATAGACTTATCTATGCCCGTCAACTTAAGAACCCTTTCCGAGACTGAAACATACCGATACCTGGGTATGTCACAGAAAATCGGTATCGATGAGACTGGTATGAAATATAGTTTGCGACATGTTTTATGCACGCTTGACCAAAGTGCTTAACAGCCTTTTGTCCGGTGTGAATAAAGTACACGCATATAACGGCTGGGTCATGCCTGTCCTCATGTATACCTTTGGCATACTCAGGTGGACTCAGACTGAACATAGCACCCTGGATAGAAAAGTCCGCACTACCATGACGTTCCATAGGATGCATCATCCAAGGCTAATGAGGCGTTAATGGGGCTGTACTTGCCGCGAAAGCATGGTAGGCGTGGCTTCCTGAGCACGCTCACCATGCATAATCGCGAAATGTGCAGCCTCCGTGATTACTTCGTGGCGAGATCAGATGATCCATTCTATAATGACGTTATTTCTAGTGATAAAGGTTTTACCCCTCTATCCTCAGCCAACGAGCAATGGCAGGACCCGGCAGTACAAAGCATTTCCGAAGGGGAGAGCGTATGGAAGGAGAAGGAGCTCCACGGGAGGTACTACAGGGCTCCGCATGAGCCCTTCGTAGATACAGTCGCTCTTGGGTCATCTGAGGCGACTGGTACTCCGTGACGGACCGCTCCGAGCTCAAATGCAGAAGGCGGTGCTCCTCGATACAGCATGCATCGTCCGCCGGTTTCTTTCCCTTTCCTCCTAACCCTCGGCCGTTTGGTCTCCCTGCCGAGGGCTTCCATCTGGTTGGATCTTATTTATTAATGTATTTTTTGTATTTATTTTATTTTATTGATATTTATGTATATTTATCTTTACATTCTAACTAAAAATTGTATATTTATAGAACCCAACCATATGATAAAATTATATAGATACCCCAAAAATAATAATAATTCTTTAATGACATTCATAGTTCACAATTTGAAATGGGTAGAAACCTGAGTCTCCTAGCTAGGTTACTGAGTAACCTGTATGTAGGAGAAAGGACTATTGAGACTCAATTTGAGCGAGCATAGTACTTAACTCTTCGAAGGACAAAATTTGATCTCCTATTACTCGGTATAAATGACTCTTTAGACTCTTCTCCTTACCCTACCCTGACGATCCCATCTTGTAAAAATGGCTTAAGGCGTTGAAAAGCGCGACTACAAGCTCTATTCGATTGTAATCTTGTAATTTCTTCGGAAAAATGTGCACGTTGAAGTTCACGCAATACCATAGTTGTAATCGGACGCTAAGATATAAGAAAGTCGCGGTAAAAGCTTCGCGAACCGACAAACGTAGATTACGCTACGCAATAATTTCGACCAAGAGGACAAGCGATTCGCCAAAGCAATGATTGGAGAAACCTCACTCGAAACGCTCGCCACCAGAGCGTGCCTCTTCTCTTCCGGCGGTTGTGACACTGACGAAGGGTCGAAATCGGTTATTGGCCATTGCGAGGGTTCCAAGTGAACCCAAGAAGGTCCGTGGATCCAAAGCGGATGGTCCATTATTTGCATCGGAGTGAGTCCACGGGATAGGCAATCGGCAGGGTTTTCCGTACCGGACACGTGATAAAAGTTCCGCGTTCCTAACTCGTCTTGGATCTTGGCCACTCGGTTCGCGACAAACGTATCCCTACGGTGGGGTGAAGAATGAACCCAACATAAGGCGACGGTGGAGTCGGAAAAGGCAAATATCCTTTCTATGTGAACTCTGTCCCTACATGCGCTGATAACTGCGGTAATAAGCTTGGTGAGTACTAATATTGCGCAAAGCTCTAAGCGCGCCAGAGAGACAACCTTACGGGGGGAGACTCTCGACTTTTAACTAACGAGGCTAATCGAACTTCTACCATTATTCTGAACGTGAAAATATACAACGCCCCCGTAAGCCTTCTCGCTGGCGTCTGCAAACCCAACGACCGTGATGACGCTATTTCTATGGACGTTTATATGACGTGGTATTTTAATTTTTCTTAGTAAAGGAAGTTCCTCTCTAAAACGTTGCCACCACCGAACAATGCTGTCAGGCGGCGAGTCATCCCAATTGCATTCAAATAACCAAAGTTGTTTAATCAAAAGCTTAGAGTCAAATTTTTAAATTCAATCATTGCCGAGGTGTCAACCGAAACGGTTGGCAGCCGTTCAGTGACCCTATCTACTACTAGTGCATTTATATCAAAGTTAACATTACGATCTATCCGAGAATAAAATTTTAAATTTATATATCCCTGGGTAACTTTACTAGTACCTCCGATGCCTTTGACTACGGGACATGAAAGTGACCTATTTATTACTAAGCCTAAGCGCTGACAACATTGTAGCGTTATAAAGCTATTTTGGGATCCGCTGTCCAGCAATGTACGGACGCTTTGTTCATTTCCACGCGAATCCCTAACTACAATACAGGCTGTACCCAGTAACACGGTTGAAGAAGGCTGAGCTCCCATATTTGCCAATGAGCACAGAGCGACATCACCAGGTCGATCGCTAGAATCGTTGACTTTAGTAGGGGTGAATTCCTTGTCCGCTTTACTTGACGCAGATATGTTGTTATTTTCGAAATGCAACAATGTGTGATGTTTTCTGGCGCACTTGTTACACGTGGAACTAGAATTGCATTTTGCAACTAAATGCTTATCGCTTAAACAATTCAGACATAATTTGTTTGTCCTTACTATTCTATAACGTTCGCTGGGTGAATGTTTACGAAAGGTCGCACAATTGTATAAATTACCGTGTTGTTGATCTTTACATAGGATACAGGCCTCCGGGGGTGGTACCGACGCAGCGGTTACGTACGTTAACGACCCTGCGGTTTTAGGTGATGGAGTCTGTCTACGGTCGACACCTTTCTTAACCTCCTGTCTAACGTTCGAGGAGCGCTACATCACTTTGAATTGGTCTCGCACAAACGATGCTAATGAATCAAAGGGGGGCATTTCAGAGCTACGATGCTCCATTTCAAACGCACGCACGGTGTCGGGGTCTAGTTTCTTTAGTGCAACATGGAGAAACACCACGTCCATAAGGTCATTAAATTTCAAGTTCTTAAGTGCAGCCACCGATGCCACAGATTTATCTAAAAACTGCTCTAAGCCGTTGATGTTCGCGGATGATATAGGTTTAATATCAAATATTTGGTTTAAATATGAAGAGACTAACATTCGCTTATCTTCATATTTGTCCTTAAGCGTTTCGAATATTAACAAATAATTATTCTGTTGGTGTGAAACCCGAGCAAATTGACTGTGCCCTGCCACTCAGTTTACTTATTAAATAATATAATTTTTCAGCGTCCGATAACGATGGATTATTATGTATATTGTTTTAAAAACTACTAAAGAAGAAGGGCCATGTCTTAATATCGCCATTGAATACCGGAATATCTATTGGGGGCAACCTAATCGAATCACGTGGGCGTACCTGGGCTTCCGGCTTTGCTTCGCTTTGAGATGGGGACTGCAAGGAGCTTCGCCGTTCTTTTCGAGCGACACAACATATCTTCAAATGCTAGAAGCGGTCGGTAGTTCACTGTATATTTCGGGTCGACTTGTAATTCCAAATTATTAATTTAGTCTTATATCTTTTCGTAATCCGTCCGCAAAGAATCCACAGTTTCAATTTCACACAAAAACGTTTCCCGCACTGCTTCTATGTTAACTTTCTTGACGTGATCACTAATATACTGTATACGTGAAAAGAGTACGTCCCTCTTGGCGAAAAGAGTTTTAAGTTTAATTTCATTTCCACTAACTGCCATTTTAAATTACTAGAATTAATATTAGATTAATCACAATTAATCGCACAACGCTGGA